TTGATTTAATTATAAATATTTAAACATGCAAATTTATTTTTAATTATTGAATCATTCATTAATATCAATAAATTTAAATAAATAAGATAAATTGTCTTCAAATGTTTTTTTTTTTCACTTATCAATATAATTTTTCGAAATAAAAATTTTTAAAAATCTTTAAAATCTTTAAAATAAAAATATTACATTATATTGAGTAAATTTTTAATGTTTAAAAATTCAAACAATATATTGCCATTGATATTATCTTATATTAATATCTTATATATCAAAAAATGCAATTAATAAAAATACAATTAAGTGAAAAATAAATTTTTTATTTGAGAATTTATTATTTGAATTTAATATTTTTATGAATTCTTTAAATTTATCTTTAAAATGTTTTCCATTATTTTAGCTTCAATTTATTTATTAGTTTTTGAAGTACTATAATAGAAATCTTTCGATACGAAATATTGAATTTTGTTATATATTTGCTATTTTTAAAATATTTTAAATATTATATTTTCATATATGAAAATAAACAAAAAATATAGAATAATAAAAAAGATAAAATTTTAGCTTAAGTCCTTTGTTTTCTGAGAAAATTAAAATTGAACATATTTAGATATATATTCATTTCAGTCATATAATCAATGAATTTTTAATCATTTTTTTCGATTTTTTTGAAAATTAAATAAAAAAAATATATTCATTATACATTCATTTTTATTTTCACATTTAAAATCATCTTTTATCAACAATCATATGCTATAAGGAATTAGCTAATTTTACTTGTATTTGAAAAATTTTCAAATTTAATTTACTTGAAAACGAAGTCTGATTTTATTTGTATAAATAAATTTCTCATGAATTATAAATATATTATCCATATATATTTATTTATATCACATTATTTATATATTTTTTTTTATATTTATAAATAAATGTTAATTATAATATATTTTATATGTACTATATGTATTGAAAATAATATAAATTTAAAATCAATTGAATTTTTGATTTGTTTTATATAATATCATTTTATATTACATAAAATAATATATAGTTTGTAATAAGAAATATTTGATTTAAATCGCTTTCATAATTATTGGTATAAAAATGAAAAATAATGATCCTTTCAAAAAAAGAACTTGATTTGTGATTTTAATTTTTGAATTTTGATAATACAAACATAGTCATATATATAGTATAAAAAATTATATCAATGAATGGTACAAAAAATAACATTGTTTGCCATTGATATCCGAAATATTGATTTAACGAAATCGAATAAAAATAGAATAGAATAGTTATGCTCTACGTATAAATATTATATCGCTTAGAAAATAAATAATTATGTAATTATGTAAATAATTACATAATTAAATAATGAATTAAATAATTATTATAAAGAAGTTTGTAAATAAAGAAACATTATAAAGAATCGGGTGCAAAAATAATAAAGCATTTAAAAAATTTCAAAATTATATTTAATTGCATGATTTATTCGAAATATTATATAAAATGTATATAGAACAAATTTTATTTTACATTAGAATTTTATGATAAATTGATGATTTTCATTTTTATATTTCATCAATTTTATATTATGTTAATGAAAAAATGTTAATTGAGAAAAAAACATAAATAATAAAATTTATTTTTCAAATAATTGTAATATGAATAAACGATAGATATATCAATATTTCATTTTTATATAATTTTATAATTAATATAATTATATTACATAATAATTCTTGTTACAAATATTGTTGTATATTATTAAAATTAAATATAGAATATAATAAGCAAACATACATAAACAATATGAATTTATGAATTCTTTTATTACATTTTAATCTACATGACAACTATTTTAAGTTATCATTATTATCACAACTATAGAAAAATATGAAAGAAAAAAGATAAATAGCTTAAAATATATTGATAATCATATTTTTTTTTGCAAATGTAATAATATATTTACATTTTGCAAATATTATTATTTTAAATAAAAACTTTGGGTAATAAAATTATAATTTGAAATACTATAGATCATTTTATATATATTACATAACATACTATAAAATTATAATAAATCATTTCTTTATAATTTCTTTTATTTTCTATTGATTTTTAAAAACTTAAAATGTAAATTATTTTTATATCATGTATCTTTTTTAAAATTAATCTTTCAAAGATGTTGTAACAAATATATTAATATCCTGTATATGTAGTGATAATTATATAATAACTACATTATGTACAATGATGCAAAATTGATTATATTAATTGATTATATCATTATATTGTTACAAAAAAATTTATCGATATTTCTAATAATATTTTTTATGAAATTTCATAAATATATAGAACATAATAAATTATACAAAAAATAATTTTTTTAACAAAACATCTTTAAAGAAATCAATATAAAGTTTTTATTTTAGTATTATTTTTATAGTTTATATTTTTATTTTTTATTTTGTGATAATATAAGTATTTTTAACTTTGTAATAATACAAGATAGAATAAAACTTTTCATACAAAAAGTATTTTATTTTTAATACTATATTTTTCTATTATAAAAAATATTCCTAGGCAATATTATCTCCAAAATATCAAAAATGTTAAAAATTTGTTAAAAATGTTAAAAATTAATTTGATTTAATTTCATTTTTCAAAAAGATATTTTAAAATCCTTTTATATGCATTTTATATAATCTTATATAACTTTGTTCTAATTTAAACTTTCATTAAAATTAGAATTACTAAATTAATAATATATAATAGTAATAATATATAAATAATATATAATAATAATTCATTTTCTTGTAACATAATATATAAATTTTTAATTTAATTT